GAATATTAGTCTGACACGTAAAGATTTCAAATTGTCATGGCCTCCTTATGACCACAGGACCTGTAGGTAGAGAAAGAAGCTCAGGAGCAGCATTTAAGCCCTGGCCTTCAGCCTTACAGTCCAAGTGCTCGGGAAGCACATCCTGTGTCCTGATAAGCAGCTGCTCAAGCTCAAGAGTGGTGTATGTGACTTGCAAGCTCCAAAGCTTTAACTTTCACGGACTGCTGATCTTCATGTAGTTTGAAAGTGGCTGGTACGTGAGGGTTTCATTCAAAGCTGACTTATGCCAGTTTACCAGAGAGCATTTGCTTAGTGTCTATCTTCCCCATTTCAGATACAGATGAAAGGTCAATCCTATCTATTAAAAATAATTGTGATACAAATCCATATTTTATAGTGAAGGGGAAAACTGTACTAGGAAAAAATGTCCTTTTAAAAACTTTATTCTCTTTGAAGCTGCCTAGCTCTGTAACTGTTTCATGGCTCTGTAATTGCTTTCTTGACCCCTATAACCATGAGAGCATAACCGAACATGCAGGATGGCTGATTGTACCAAGCTTTATGGTCATTAATCTGGTCTTGTAATTGAAGGTCATTAATTGAGCCCTGTAACTGATGATCTTACCCTGCTAGCTAATCAGAAGAGCTGCCAGGCTGTCCTGTCCTGCCTTTGTAGCCCCTGCTTATGCTTCATATAAAAATGCTGGCTCACAGACACTCGCTACCTGGCCTTTGTTGGAAGTTATTCCAGCCAGGACCACAGGTGTAGAATAAAGTTGTTCACTGCCTCCTGACTTCCTTGGGTGTTGTTCTTTCCTGGACTCAGTTTTGCTGCAACAGTGGAAATAGAAAAGATTCTAAACTTCACAGGAAACCATGAAGACTCCCAAATACCTAAAAATAATCCCGAGAAAGAACAAAGCAAGAGGCATTTTACATACCCCTGATTTCAAAATACATTACAAAATTATACTGACTAAAACTATATGACACTGGCAGGAAGAGAGACACATGGACCAACAGAACAGAGAGCTCAGAAATAAGTTCACAAATATATGGTCAACTCACCTTCAGCAAGGACACTAAGAATACACAGTGGAAAGGGGCTAGGGTGTAGCTGAGTGGTACAGTGAGTGTTCAGCATTCACAAGGCCCTGGGTTCAAGCCTCATCAACTCTCCAGCCTCCCCATCTGCAAATATACAGCAAGAAAGGATAGTATCCTCCCCACATGCAAAAAATCAAAGCCTTATCTGACATCACATATAAACTCAAAATGGATTAGACTTTAATGTAAGACCTGAAGCTATATAACTTCTAAAAGAAAACATAGGTAAAATATTCATGATATTGGGCTTGGCCATGACTTCTTGGATATGACACCAAGAACACAAGCAACAAAAGCAAAAATAGACAAATGAAACTATATCCAATTAAAATCTTCCACACAGTAAAGTTCACACAATCCATACAGCAAAAAGGTAATCTACAGAGTGCAGAAAAATATTTGCAAGCCATACATCTGATAAGGAGTTAATTTCCAAATGTATAAGGAACGCCTATAACTCACTAGAAGGCTTGGTATGGTGGCATTTTCCAGTAATCACAGTTGGCACTTGGGAGGCTGAGACAGGAGAGTTCAAGGCCTGCTTGGGCAATATAAGGAGAACCTGTCTCAAAAATCAGCAAACAAACAAAATCTCAATAGCAAAACAACAAAAATACTAAAAAATTTGATTTAAAAATTGGCCAAAGGACTTGAACAGACACTTCTGCAAGTGTGTCAAGAAGATGCACATGGGGATTTAGCTCAGCGGCACACTGTCTGCCTGGCAAGCACAAGGTCATGAGTTCAATTCCCGGTAAAGGAAAAAAAAACCAACAAGAAGATGCACAAATGGCTGATAGGTGTGTGAAAAGATGCTTGACATCACTAATTGTCAAAGAAATGTAAATCAAAGCCACACTGGTCAGGATGGCTATTATCCAAAAGATGAAGGGTAACATGCAACTCACATGTTGGTAAGGATGTGGAGAAAAAGGAATCGTTACACAGTTTGTGAGGGGTGAATAGGGTACAAACTCAGACAGTATGAAGTTTCAGTTACTTGACTCTCATCTCTAAGTTCTAGAGATCTGCTGTACAACATCGCACCTATTGTTGTGCATTTAAATTGAGAGAGTAGAGCTCCTGTTATTTTCTTACCACAATACAATAAAAAGAATAGCCTGACTGATTCGAACAGGATGTCTTGAAGGCAAGGGGAAACAGGCGTGTTGTGGTCCGCCTTCTATGACACATTCTAGTCAGTCACCTTTAGTTCTTATGTACACATCTCAGCCATTAGGAAAGGATGAAAAGAAATTCTTCTAGGCATGTATTGGTGATGTTCAGTGACAGAAGCAGAAGAACACAGGTGGGGAACACTTAGTGTACCCTGAAATAAGAAGAGACATGAGGTTTGCTAACACCGGCACCTCCATGCATATACTCAGGCAGAGACACCGAAAGCTTGAGCTCGGTTATCACAACGACACTTCAGAACATACTTCCAGGGTCACAACAAGTCTCTCTCTATGCTACTTATAAGTTATCTGTGAACCTTTTCAGTCTTGGCACAATTCAAATGTTGTCCCCTTCCCCATGCTCATGGATTGAGTCTGGGTCTGATACTGTGCAGCCATCTTGACCTTCAAGTGACAACTTGCTCTGAGGCTTTGTGAAGGAAAAAACCATCTTCATTGTCACTAAGAAGAAAATCTTAACTCTGCCCAGCAATAGATCAGAAACCAAAAAACACCTACCAGGGCCTAAAGAACACCTACACTAGAGAAGTGTCTAGAAAGTATGAAGAAAAAGTAAAATATTTTTAGGGAATGGACATAGGTAATTTCTATAGATAATTTCCAGTCAGGAAATTCATAGGTAATTTCCAATCAGTATGCTTGGGGATTCTGAGTTTACCCAGAACAGATGTAAGAAAAAACAAACAAACAAAAAAAAAACAGTTAATTTTATTGAACAAACAACTTTCAAATATTAAGGTAATTATTTTCAGTCCATTAAAGCAATTTATCCCTAGTCCTCAAACACAGGCATGTTTGTTATCCAGAACCTTTTTCTCTGTCCAACCCAAATCCCTCTTGTATTGCAACTCCTCCCAAACCCATTTTCAATTTTCGCTCATGGAAACCACCATCTGGCTTTTCTTTGTCTTCCAGTTCTTTTTAGTTTTCCTCCATAGGTTTTAGTGTGTATCTTTTTTGTTTGTTTGTTTTTTTCCAGGTACCGGGAATCAAACTCATGACCTTGCGCTTGTCAGGCAGGTGCTGTGCCACTGAGCTAAATCCCCCGCCCCCTGTATCCTTTAATTATCCTTAATAATTAAAAAAACCAGTTTCTACTGTCTTAGTAGATATTTGCCAAGCTGGTAACATGTTATCTGGATTTCCCTGTACAGGATTTGGGGCCATGAAGTCCATTTAAGCTCCTGTGTAAGGTCAGACACCACCTGTCAGCCTTTCGTCTGTTCTCATTCATTCCAGCTCCGTTTGAGTGTGGTTCCCAAGAAAGGCACATTATGCAAGGCGCTGGGGACATGGCTCGTGTGTGCATGAAGGGCAGGCTGGAGAACATCCCTTTGGAGGTACTAATAAGCAGCCCTGAGCCAGGGTGACCATGGTGCCAGAATCCCAGACAGGGAAAACAGAGGTCCCCAAGTGCAGGGCCACAGGCTGCCTAATGTGAGGCGAGGCTGATGTGGGGAGAGGGCTCGTGTGTTCTGGGCACAGGACGGGAGGTGGACCCGAAGACAACTGTCATACTCAGGCCAAGCAAGGAGGTGAAGGCGTTTGTTTTCCTTTTCTTCCTCTCAGATTTGTTTGTACTCTTTCTAAAATTCAGACATCTAAACAGTTGCTGGGCCAGGCAGAAGGAGGTGATGGTCAGTGTTTGACCTTTGGGTCCTCTTCTGAGGACTGTTTACAAAAGTTGGACTGTGGGGAGTCCTCCTAATTAAACCACTGTGTGCACCTCCTGCAGAGCTCAGAATAGTCTTGAGTATGAAAATATCAAGTTCTGGCACCAGTAGGCAAATCGCTGCTCATTTTGAATATTGAACAACTCAAAAGATAGCTGTTTCCTTCCATTAAAACCCTATGGTACGGCCCCCTTCTGTGCCACAGTTTTAATAACAATGCTTAACACCTACACTGGATGGGTAGGAAAGCCAGAGCGGAGCATCTCACTATTCCCCACAGTGCTGGACCCAAAGCAGACGCAACGCTCTTCTATCTTCATCACCTGTATTTAACTCATGCCTGATCCCTGAGCCAGAGGATTCAGCTCACACATTTGCTCGAAAACGGTGATCATAAAGCTTCTCTGCAGTTCTTGCTAACGTCGTGTCGCAATAATCCAGATGTTTGCCTGCCTGGAATGGATGGCACTTTGCGGGCTCAGGTGGCTCTAACTTCATCTACCTGTCTAGGAGTCGCTGAGTAGAACAAGCATCCAGGTCAAGCCACAGAGCTCAGCAGACATCCAGAGTCCACGGACACCACTGAGAGGCCTTCCATAAGGAAATGCTTATAAGAAACAGGACCAGAACAAAGCAAAGATTAAGCAACAGGAAGAAAGCTTGTCATTGCATTACTGTGAGGATTTCTGTAGAAGTTTTGGAGCTGAAATTGCCTCAGATTATTTACTGAGAGCAACTGCATGAGTTCTGCACTGACACTTTCCAGCACAATTCCCCAAGGTTATGTGACAAAGCTGCAGGACAATGTTTGGGTGTTTCACGCATGGTTGTAACTGTCACTCTGTTTTGCAAAATTAAAAATCTCCAGAATGTCCGCAGCAAAGTAAAATGTAGCTTTTGGCAGGTGGAGTAAAATGTCCTCCCTTGGTCCTTGTTCCTGCCGCATTCTTTCTCTAACCTTTTAGTTCACTAAGTTGTAGGGGCTGATATCATTCTTGGTGAATAATGCGGGGTCACACTGAAAATGTGTGACAGAGCTGGACCTCGTCATCACCACGCACTTTGTCACTAAGACAGGGTAACCCATGGTAACTAAGCTCCTGCTGTGAAGGGGCAGACAGCCTCTCCTCCCTGCAGCTCTATAAAAGGGACCCAGCAAAGGGACCCTCCCAGCTTCTGGCTCTCAGCCCTGGGCAGGTGCAGGAAGGAGAGCCCGGCTCTGAGGCAGAGCTCACGGGCAGACGAAGGAAGGCCAGCATGCCACCCAACCGCAAGCTCCAGTGTCACTTCGTCCTCCTCGTCCTGGCGGCTCTGAGAGGGGACAGCCGGTACCTAGAGGTGAGCCGCCCTGCACTGACCCGCCCGGCCTCCGGTGAGGGTGGCCGCTGGCTCTGCTCGCAGCCTCTGAGCGAGTAACGCTGCTCTGCTCTCTCTGCCGGTCCTGCCCCGGCCCTGCCTTCCCGGACTGGCCGGTCCCTTCTGGGCACTGGTGCCCTCCTCCTCCGCCACGGGAAAGGCTCGGGGACCCGGGGGCACGGGCTCCCCCTCCGTTCACTTTGTCCTGCGCCCGGTCCACTTTCCTATCTACGCCTCCAACTTCGAGGGCTGACCCTTCTTCCTCGCCAGCTGCAGGACGCCGCGGACTACGACCCTCTCCTGCTCTTCAGCGCCAGCCCGAAGCGGGAGTTGGCCGGGGAGCAGCCGTACCGCCGCGCGCTGCGTGAGTGGGGTCCCAGGGGTCCGGGGGTCTGGGGGGCAGGGGCCCTTGGGGCGGTTCCGTCCCCTCCTTGGGGGGATCGGGGAGGACGCGCGCCCAGGGCGCGGAGCCGGGCTGCAGGGCCGGAGCCGGGGCAGGGAGCCCTGCACCGCGACCCGTGCTCCGCGTCCCCAGGGTGCCTGGACATGCTGAGCCTGCCCGGCCAGTTCACGTTCACCGCGGCGCGGCCGCAGCTGCACTGCGCCGCCTTCTTCATCGGTGAGGCGGAGGAGCTGCTGTCCATCCGCTTCGACCTGGTGTCCATCGACTGCAGGCGCGGAGACTTCCTGAAGGTGAGGCGCCAGCCTGCGACGTCCAGCGGGGTGCAGGCGGGGGGTGGTTGGAGAGGGCCAGGATGCTGCGCCCCGACTCTGGCTGACGCCCTCCGTGGGTGTTCGAGGGCGTGACCGCAAGGAAGCCCTTGCCACACCCCGCAAGGCGGGTGCCTCTGGGACTTACAGACGCTGGAACTTGCAACGCGACGCCCTGGGGTGCGATCTGGGGCTGACAAAATGAGGCAAAGGCGCTGGTGGGAGCGCTCGAATCCACCCAGGGAGCCGGGGCACAGTACTGATCCCCTCCCACCCTAGTACTGAGACCCTGCGCCAGCCTCGCTGGTCCACACTTGTGCGCTGGTCAGAGGCGCAGAGGCAGTGTTTGGAGCCCTGGGGCACTGTCTGCTAGGGAGACGCTGACGGTCGAAGGGAGACAAGCCCCCCAATCTTACAGCACCCCCTGCCAGCCTCCTGCAGAAGGCTAACTAACCATCAGCTTGGGTCCTCTCCTGTTCATGGAAAACAGGACTGGAACCTCAAGGCAGACCTGTTTTGGAACCTGGCAGAGGTGTTGGAGATAATTGGTATGGGTTGTTGGTCATTTTGCTAATGTGGACTGGGGTGGACTCAATAAACTGGAGACCTGTGGTGATTTTGAGAGCAAAGTCCGTTGACTGGACTCTGTCCAACTCCCATGTTGGCCAGTGAGGCTTCGGGGTGCCACTCCACCCACCATTCCTGTCCCTAGCCCTACTTTATATTTCAAATAATATGGGATGATAGGGAAAAATGTGAAGAACGTGTGTCTGCAACCACTGCCACATATAATTGAAGTTCCAGTTTTCTTTCACCACCTACTTTTGAGGTATTTTGTTCACATTCCAATGACTAGAGGAAAGAAAGGAGCTGAACAAACCCCAAATTATGCTAAGGTTGGATTGTTCTGAAGATGGCATGTGGAGAATGAGTGTAAGGAAGTTTACTTATTTTACAGAAAAAGCATTACTTGCAACCTGACAGTCAAAATACACAGAGATCAAAGGCAGTGGGTGGGGAAGCCTGGGCTGTCAGCTCCTCATGCCAGCCCAAGGCTCAATGTGACCCCCTCCAACACACCGTGATTTCAGGAGCTGGTGACAGTGACCACACATGTTTGTATTATTATTATTTTTGCAAGGTATTTGATGGCTGGATTCTCAAGGGGGAGAAATTCCCCAGTTCCCAGGATCACCCTCTCCCCACCACTGATCGGTACACAGACTTCTGTGAGAGTGGTTTCAGCCAGAGGAGCATCAGATCCTCCCAGAATGTGGCCATGATCTTCTTCCGGGTTCATGAACCAGGAAATGGATTCACATTAACCATAAAGACAGATCCCAACCTCTTTCGTAAGTGACTTCCCTGCCTTCTCAACCAAAGTGCTGGATTCAGGGATCAAGACTCCTTTGCAATGGTAGTATTACCCCTCCGACTAAGGGAATTTGAGCTAAGAAATTATTTGAGTAGAAATTTATTTGTAACTAGAAGCAACCTAAAGGATATTCTTTCTTCATTATTAAGAAAATAAATTGCAGTTTTTAATTTACTGTCCAGGCTAGAATAGTAAACTAGTTTGTGGTGGCTATAATTCTATTTTTTCTCCAAAATCTTCTGGTCTCCTAAGTTACTATAATGCTTTCAAGGAGAAACCCTTAATCTCCCGAGTCATTTTACTCATGTAGGATAAGCATGGATCATCAGATATGAAGCTGTGATTTTAGAACTAGCTACCGAGGCAAGGGCTGGCGCTGCGTGTCTGAGATACGGTAGACAAATGCTGTGTGCTGAGCAGAGAATTGAACCAGAAGGCTTTGCACTGCCCTCAGATACAGAGCCTGCTACCTAATCCAGTTCTTTTCTGATGGAGAAGTAGAGATTATGCTATCAAACTGTGCAGCCCAGGCCTAAAGCCTGTAGTTTTTTTTTTTTTTTTGGTGGTACTGGGAGTTGAAACCAAACCTTCACACTTAGCTACATCCCAGACCCTTCTATGTTTTAGTTGGTGACAGGGTCTCAGTAAGTAGATCAATTGACCAAGCTGGACTTCAGTTTATGATCTTCTTGCCTCAACCTCCCAGTGTGTAAAACATACATTCTTTTAATCAGAATGAATTCGTCTGCTTATGTTTTTCCTTTAAGAAAAAATCTTTCTAAAAATCAGAAAATGTAAGCATATCATTCATTTTAGGTTGCATATAATATACTAATACTATACTATTATAATATTAATATACAATAGCATTAAATACTAATATAATATTAATACTAATAGTTCATTAATTAGTATGAATAGTAATACTAATAGTTGAAGAACAGGGCCTCATCTATCAAAGAATAATATACTACTAATCATCTGATTTCCACTTTGAAAAAAAAAGAATCTCTCCAAAAAAAACTGTTTCTGAGGATTGGAGCAGAATGCTCCTAGGGGATTAAATGAAGTGTCCGGCCTGAATTTTGTTTGGTCAGCAGTCACAAGAAGCCTTCTAGGTTTACCAAGGAATTTCAGTTCTTTTTTGAAAGTAAGTGTAATCAAAAATAAAAGGAGGCAAGAAGTAGGTTCTACCGATTCTAATCAATCCGAATCTTTAGAACTATAATCATAAGAATGCAAATGTTGATGCTTCTGCTTCTTAACTAGAAGGATAAATCTATTTTAAGTGTAGATGTGAGATACAAAACAAAAAATTTCCAGAAATTCTTGACAGTACACATTTGTCTTCTGGTCAACATCAATCAACAATGAGCATGTATTTATCAAATTTAAGTATGCTGTCTTTTTTTTCTCAACTTATTGTGTCACTATTATAAAATACTTGAAATTGTTTACTTTATTATTTAAAAAATAACATGATGGGTAAAATTCTGAATGAAGACTTTAGGCAGAGTTGCTTGTTTGTTTGTTTTGAGACAGAGTCTTGCTATATAGTTTAGGCTGGCCTTGAACTCACTATGCAGCCCAGGCTGGCCTCAAACTTGTGGCAGTCCTCCTGCCTCAGTCTCCTACATGCTGGGATTACAGGCATGCACCACCATGCCCAGTTAGACAGAGTTTGAGTTCTGGCTTCACCTTAATTTTCCAGATTCCTAGCTTGAACACAGACCCTCATTAACAGATGTGTTCCTACCACCAGCTTAGGGTTGCTTGTCTAGCTAAGCATTCATGTCATGTGATTGTTATAAATAAGGTAGACCCCTGCTACCTTGAAGCACCTAGCTTCAAGGTGCTAGCCTTGAAGCCCAGCACCCTCTAATGGTGTTTTCTTTTATTTTATTTTTTATTTTAAAGAGAAAAAAACACCAAAAATTGAAAACAAGATAATAGGAGGGTAGCAATGGTTCATACATTGTGTGTTGTTATCTTTAAAATAGTTACTCAGAGTACAAGATATGGGCATGTAATTGTCTAAACATTATTAGCACAAACCTTTCTTTTCAATGAACTAAGAGAAATCAGTAGTATAACTACCTTAACTATATATACATATTTTTTTTTCTTTTCCCTTTCTTCTTTTCTCCATACTCTGATGGTGTTTTATTCCCCAACTCCTTCCTTTCTCATCATTGTCATTGTGCAAGATATTCTCTTCCCGGCACATGACCCCTAGCCCATGAACAGCAAGCTAGAATATGGATATAGTGAATTTCTATAAGAACCCAGCAAACCTAATAATCCAAATGCAATCTCTTTGTTTCTGCCAAGCTTGTAATGTCATCTCTCAGACCCCAAGTGGAAGGTTCACCCTGGTGGTTCCTCGCCAGCATCGGAACTGCAGCTTTTCCATCATTTATCCAGTGGTAATCAAAATATCGGATCTCACCCTGGGACATGTGCATGGTCTTCAGTTAAAAGTGAGTGGCTCACATGCTTCCTGAGCATTTGTCCAGGCCACAGCTTTAGTGCAGCAGATGCAAACTGGAGGAGCAGGTTCCTTGGGCTTTAAACTGTCACATATGCTTTCCTGGCTGCTGTGCCAATCCCCTGCTATTTCAGTTATGCTTCAAATCACACATTCAGGTGCCCGTTCCGACTGCTTCCACACTTTCCTGTGATGTAAGGAGTGCTTTCAGTGGCAAAAGTTGTGGTCTGTAATTACAATTGAACTCTCTTGTGCTCGCGTCTTTCATAAAATTCTCTCCTAGCAGAACCTAGCATGAGTCATCTACACAGCTGCTTTTCTGATTATTGGACTCTTCTTTTGACAAGAAGGAAGTATCTCATGGACAGAACTATAGGGAGGGATGTTAACCGTGGCATAAGATGTAAGATTGGGTGTTTTTATATTGCAAAAGGCAATGAGGTTTTGAAGATTTTTGTGCTACATTTAATTTCAATACATTTTGCTTCAAAAATATTAGTTAAGACTCCCTGTCAACTTAGTTTTAAATGAGCTTCTGAATAACCTTAAAATGAATGCAAGATTTAAACACATTTACTGGCATGGTAGCGCCTTCCCCATGAGTCAGTCTCATTTCCTTTTTCTTGCTGATCTGCTAGGCTAAGATAACTCCTGTATGGTCATAGTTTCCATCAGATTTTAGTGAAAATCAAATAAATAAGACCATGATGGAGACAAGAAAGTATATCCAATTTCCTCTAACCCTAAACAAGCCTGTGCTTACCTTAGTGTGAGATTAACCGTTTGTTTGATAAGGGTGACTTTGAGTGTCTTTGATTCAGCCTGATATTTTTCATGTCATTCTTGATGTAAAACCCAGAATGCAGGAGGCGTGAGAGCAGACTGGGAGATTTGTCCTTTAGGTATTGAGTCTGCAAGAAAAGAAATTTGGTGTTTCTCCTTGACCACTAAGAGTCTATAGTGTTCTAGGCATCTATTCCTTTAAAAGATTTTTCAGCACTTCCTGTATGCACAGGACCATTCTAGGCACTGGAATGAGCAGCCAGCCAGATGGATTCTGCCCCTTGAGAGCCTGCATTCTAGTGGGATGGGGCAGACAACATTGCCATGTATTTTAAACAGTGCTAAGTGCTGTACAGAAGGTACACCAGAACGGTTTGATAGCACGACCGGCGACCAGGGGCAGGTCAAGGGAGGAACCACCTGGGCTAGGGCGGCAGGGAAGGAGACCTTTTGGAAAGGGATAGTTCAAGTGAGACCTGAGTGACAGATTAGAAGCAGCCAGGACCATGGAAAAAACAGGGAGTGGAGGGAACAGTGGACTTGCCAGGTTCCAGAAATGGGAAGAAGGCAAAGCATGGACGGGAGTGAGATGCTTGGGGAGACTGACCGAGTGAGACCACCATGCTGTCCCTGTTCTTAAGTCTGGTGGGAAATGGTGAAGGGGCCGGTTGAAAGGTGATGTGACTGATGTACTGTCCAACCTCATGGGGCTTCCACATGGTGAATGGGTGGGCTCGGGCCATGCTGCTTTTCCATCTCTGATGATCATTATTACTGTACTATCAAGATTATCCCTTAAAACCCACCAGACTTCTTACGTACTGAAAAGTGAGTTCAGTTCTGCATGCTGAGCAGGGTGTGGCACAGGAATTCAGGTGCTCAACTGTACACTGCTGTAGTCTAGCAGGAGATGATAGTGCCTTAGAAGCCTGACAGAAATATCTAGGGGATCACTCCTGAGGAGCAGAACCCCAGAGAGGTACCTACACAACCTGGTTTTTGCCATTATTTATAAGAAAACCTGAGGGGTTCCCAAAGGCAGGGAGAGGTCATTGAACGCGGGGGAACAGGTGCACCCGGTTTCCTTGTTTGTTTTTGTGCCTTTGCTTTAGTGTCTACTTCTTCCCAACTTCATGTCCCATTTCTCTCTTGAGCCTGCTATTTCCCTTCAACACCACCTGATAACACCTGGAACCTAAAGAACCAAGTGGAAACTTCATCTTTAAAAATGCTCCCCTTGGGCATCATCTACTCAAGGGAAAGTCAATTAAGTTTTTTTTTTTCCTTTCATCTCAAAATAGCTTCATCTCCCAATTCATAAACATGAAGCCTTTTGCACAGTGAAGTTAATGGAATCTGTTTCATCATTTGATGAAATTATAGGTAAAGTAAGCATAGAACCTTGCACACAGTAGGACGTTTAAAAATAGATGTCCCCTTTGCCTGCCTTCATTAGCCAGAGTTGCCATTCTTTTTCCTAATGTGTGGGTTAGTTCAAGTTGTGTTTCAGTGTCTGTCTGACTGTGTGCTTGTGTACATGCTCACGTGTTCAGAGTTCTGGGTTTAGAGTTTGGCTTCTATGTGTTAGGGTCTGTGTGGCTCACTTCCGGCACCTGTCATCCTCCACAAGTCTCCAATGATTATACTTCAGTGAGAAAAGGATGGTGGGCAAAAGTGGTGACACGAATTATGAGGAATGGTACAAAATGAAACTTTGGGAGCTTTATTAAAAATTCACAAGGAGTTTTAAGACAGCAGTAAGCAGAGCTTGGGGTCCTTCTGAGCACGACTCTGGGTGTGGCTGCCTGTGATGCAGCCCTGGTCACCAGAGGGTCCCCAGGGTATCACTGAGTACCCTCCAGTCTCCAGTGGAGGGATATATGACAGTGACTGCTTTTTCTGTGGAAAACTGAGGTGCAGGGATTTCTGTAGACAAGACTGGAAAGGACCAAAAGAAGCAGAAGAAATGGTCACAGCAGATCTCATGAATCCAATCTTCTCTAAGTAGTTTGATGTGCTTACCTCGACAGCATGTATACTAACACAGAGTAGCTGGAAATGACTTTAGTTGAATGGGCAAAGATGATGGTAAGTCTGGCTAACGTGGGCCCCAAACCAGAGTTTTATATTTTTTAAAGTATACTCAAATTAATCTAAATCTTTATCAGTAGAAATCATGTGCTCCAAAGAGCAGAGGAAGTCCTTTATAAAGAACAGGAAAAGCGGAAAATTAAAGGGACACCCTGTGTTGAAGCTCACTGTATAAAATGCAGATAATTGATTTCATTTAGCTCTGCCTGCAAGCATTAAGACATTCAAATTGTTCAGTGTGTACATCAAGCAATTCAAAAGCAAAGCATCTCCAAGGCCCATGCTCATACATCTTATATCGAGTTTACAGATTCCTGTTTCATCACTCCAGCCCTTGAGCTTAAATTATTTTTTAAACATGAGCATAAATTTAAAAAAAATGATTACTTGAATGTCTTAGAAAGGCCACTCTTATGATTTTTTTCTTTTAAAAGCTTTTCAATTTCCGGAGTTCCAGATGTTAAATTCAATGGCACTACCATGATTGTCAAGGGCTGATTAAGTGAATCCACCCATCCACCACTGGCCAAATGGACTGACTTCTGTCTTGGTTTAAATGTGTCTTGCTCCACTGCTTTGTCCTCTTAGAAATCCTCAGCAGGCTGTGGAGGAATCGGAGACTTTGTGGAGCTGCTGGGAGGAACTGGCCTGGATCCTTCCAAGATGCTGCCTTTAGCTGATCTCTGCTACCCCTTTCATGGCCCTGGTGAGACACCTTGCAATTGTATTTATGTACCTATCAAGATTATTTCCTTACAGCAAACACTCCCCACCCTTAATACAGTGGAAAGTGAGTTCCACCAGGAAGAACTCCATTTTACATGTGCCACCAGTATGAGAACCTTACATTTGAGTCTATGTACAGGCTCAGAATCTGTTATCAAAATATCTTACACTGAGAGAAAACTATGAAGCCATGTAGATGTAGATTTAGGGTTGGTCTTAAACGAAAAAGACAAAGTTTTTATATTCTTACCATCCTGCTTTTATCGTCTGAAGACTATGGGATTTGCTAACTGAAAAACTCATGGTGTTTAGAATCATAGATTAATAGGAATATAATGAAGTAATACCTAAATAAGTTTTCCACATATGTTGTACGTGTATGATTATTCATAGTAATTAAATTACAGAGTGGTAGGATTTATTAGAACTTCCCCAAAGAGCTGAATATCCCCAACTTCCAGCGGAGGCTATGGTGATCCTGACGTTAATTCTGAGATCTAAAAGTGGTAACCAATATTTAAAAACTAGCTTAGGGCACAGCTTCTAAACAGATCTTCTTTGTCAGGGGCCAGGGAGAATTTTCCATGTGATTATGCTGAGGTGAGTGAGGAGGGGTGGGAATCACTGATCTGATAACCAACCTCATTGAGTGTGTTTGTGGATTACACAGAACATTTCTATGTGGGTCACTCCCAGACCTGTACCTCAGGTGTAGGAGACTGGTTATCTTCACAGAGACAAAAGTAAAACAGAAGACAAAGAACTCAAATCACATAGTTAATTTTCATGTTGCCCCTGCCTGTCTGGTCACTGAAGACCCTTCACCGACTGTAGGTAATGAAACTGCAAAGAAGATAGGTGTGTTGGTCAACTGTACCTCATTTTAATTAAAACCAGATCAACCCACCAATCTTTTCTCTCTTTGAGCTAATGCTAGAACCTGGCTACACACAACATCTCTGAAATAGAACTGATATGCACAGATGAGCACTAAGGCCGACGTATGCTCCGCCCTCCCTGGTACCTCTGCAGGAAAGAGGTTTTGGATGAGATTTCAGGCAGCAAGCTTTCCCATCAAAGTAAAAGCAAAAGCTTCCTAAAAACGCATTTTGCTGAAGACTGGATTTTTCATACTAATTGACCCTGAGCCTTGGTTTAATCTCGCCAGCCCTCTCCCAGTGCTCTCTGGCTGGTGTCCGTGCTGTGGCGAGAGCTACTGAGTGAGGCAGAAAGGTTAGTTGGGACTGAAGAACAAGTGTCCTTACAATTTACATAACTGAGGCCTGAGTCATTTTTTTCTGCTTGAATTATGACTTGAAATAGGCAAAAGGGTGACATTAAGGTAAAAAAAAACTACTGTTGCCTAAGTTATGTAGATAACTGGAACCAATTTTTTTTTAAGTGAAAAGCATATTTACTTGAGTTCCATGATCCAAACTTACTTTAAATCCACTTTTAAGTCCACATACTTTACATTAGGGAGGATACTTTGAAGATTTTTACAATAAGAGCCTGGAACCAATTTTGAGATGACTTTTTCTTCTTTTTTTTGAGACAGGTTCTCACTGTGTAGTTCAGGGTGTCCTTGAACTCACTACGTAGCCAGGCTGGCCTCAAACTGGAGGCAATCCTCCTGCCTCAGCCTCCTGAGTGATGGAATTACAGGCATGTGCCATCATTTGAGATGATTTTAAGGCTTGAATTATATCACTCTTTGGTTCATTTTAGTTTTTTTATTTCATCTGCTCTGTTTTAGAGATCTTCTTCTAGGTACAAACAATATAGAACTATTAGGGACCCTTCCTCTTAGATTGAATTTTATCAGAAATGTGTAAACATCATAATTAATATGCACATTAACTAAAGGAAATAGAGTAGTTATATACATTAAAGTTCAGAGTAAGATCAGAAAAAGAATGACCTTCTAAATTGTCTAAGGAAATTTGTTCCTCCTGAAGAAGTTAACCTATGTGCCCTGGTTCTTATATTAAACAAATTATAAGGATTGTATTTATTATGTTGTCAGATTAAAATTCTTAAATTGTTTTATTTCATTGTAACAGGAACATGTTTGCAAGGTACTTGTTTCAAAAGATGATGCTTGTGTTTCTCAGAATCTAGAAATGATTTATGGAGTGAGGGGAAAAGACAGAAAATTAATACAGCAGAAAGGATTACTGTAGGGCAGATAAATCTCACTTCAAACACTGGCTTGAGGTACAGAAATAAAAGGAATGTTATCTTTAATAAAAATACTATGACTTTCTATTTGTAACTGCTCAAACAGACCTGCCTAAGAAGAGATATAACTGAGAAGAGATGCTTATACTGATAATGAAAATATTGGACATAAGATGAGAACAAGTATTAAAAGCTCTTCCCTATGAGCTGTACCCGAAAAAATAAGAATAAAAATGTGCAGGTGGACTGTAGAACAGAGACAACTATATTCAGTGTATACCTTTACCATGAAAATGATCTTTTATATGTGAAGCAGAATTATTTTCTAGATTCAGAAAATAATAAACAGATGATTTCATCTAGACAAACACCAAGCAGTATATTCTGACCTGTAGCCCTTGCTCACCAAATGCCGCTTAGAATCCCAGATATCATGAGCAAAAAAATGCCTTGCAAATTTCCAAGCTGTGCCTAGAGGATAGTGCTGCCCACAACAAGAACAATGAACTAGAGCTCAAGTGGAGAGTTGACCAGGCACCTCTGTTCTCTTTCCTACCTAATTCTTGCAGACAGGAGAACAGGAAAGAGCTGGTAGATGTCCCCAGCCTCCTTCCATTCAGATTTATTTGTTTTATGCTCACTTCACTTGCGGAGAAAAGCTAATTTCAATTTCATGATTCTAGAATTAATTATATATTATAATAAAAATGAAACCCAGAGTGTTTCACAGCAACACAGCCCTTGCCTTTCTTGTGTTTAAATTAGCAATGCAGAGGGGATGGTTTGTGTGGCTCTAACTTTCTGGGAAACTTACTTTGTTCATCAATTATAGCCCAACTGAAAATTGGCTGTGACAACTCTGTGGTGCGCATGGTCTCCAGTGGAAAACACATCAATCGTGTGACGTTTGAATATCACCAGCTGGAACCATATGAACTGGAGAACCCAACCGGAAACAGCATCCCGGAATTCTGTTCCTCTGGTCTTTGAATATAACCAGCTCCATAACCGCCGTGCTGCTAGCTAAGTGAATTCTCAAAGGCTCTTTGTACATAGTTCTGATGAGCAGCTAGTGAAAAGCCTTTCATACCAATCAGTATTCCCAACTGTGAACACACACACACACAACCACATATAAAGTTTTGTATCTTGCTTCCTTTTTGTTTGTAATATATCTAAGACATGGAGAAAATGAGCCCCGATGGTAAACAATGCATTTTAGTTGGAAATGTTGGTAGTTCTTTGGTACGTTACAGATCTGAACTGGTAAGACAGACATAAAGCAATGGGTGATGAACGTTGGCATCTCAAGGGAAAAGACTATAAAGAAAAGAAAATGGTGGCATTCATAGTTTTATTACAGAAAATTTTCAAAGTCTTGTGTACACCAAAGGAGTTGCATCTGTTTACTTTTTGTTTATAATTTTGTTTACAATAGGTAGAAGTTGTAATTGTTATTTATTTGTAATACTTGTTTGTAACAAAACTTTGTAGCATGGAAAAAACTTTCCATCCACAAATATAAATGTGAATAAATATATTCAGAATGTTGGCACCTTGACATTGTGCTTTATTTTCTTTCCTAATAAAGGTCCTGTCCTTTATTACTCTCAGAAGATGATGTTCCTACATGGCGTAGAACTAAGTTGTTTCAGGTTTCTTAGAGCTACTGCAACTCTGGAGTGTTAGAGTAGAAATTTGTGGTGAATGGGGGAATCACAGTGTCTGTATGAGCAGCACAGACTGTTGGTCCTTGCAGGGAAGCAAGGGGTGAACATCTGTTTCCCACTGTCCAATAAGGCAGAGGGCTTCAAACTTTTTGGCAGCAAGGACTGGTTCCATGAAAGACAATTTTTCTGTAGCTGGATGTGTGGGTGGAGAATGGGTGGAAGAAGTAGTTTCCTTTTTACTTAGTACTGTATATATTTGCAGTACATAATAACTGTATACTTAGTACTGTATATATTTGCAGTACATAATAACATTCCCCAGCACGAGCTAGAATCATTGCCTCAGCTCCACCTCAGATCATCAGATATTAGAGCCATTTGAGGCTCTAGATTTCAGGTATGTGCAGCTTATAATAGGGTCCACTTCTATGAGAATCTGGTGCTCAGCTGATCTGACAGGAAGTGGAGATGATGTCAGCCACAGTGAACAACTGGGAGTACAATGAAGCTTCTTAGCTGGCTCACCTGACAGTAGTATGGCTCTGTTGCTAACAGGCTAGCATCTGGGACTGGTTTGCTGACCTGGGGTTGGAGACCCCTGCTGTGAGGAAACTTACAACACGTCTTTGTCACAAGGACATACTGTCCAACAAGCACTGCAAGGACTTTACACCACCATAGATGCAGCTTGTACAAATCTGAGCACTTCTTTGGTTGGAGCTGAGGCAATGATGCTAGTGCTGGGGAATGTAGTTATTATGATGGAGTCCACTATGAAGCAGTTCTGAGCAAGATTTAATATTAACCAGTTGGCTTTCCATGTTTTCTTGGGAGTTGTCTGAAGCTTAGGCCTTCACCCAGAGATGGGTAGTAGACTCATAGTAAGTGAACCTCTATGAGTCACTGGTCCCCACTGAGGCCTGTATTGGCTTGTGAAATTAGGATGCCTCAAAGGAGAAGATAAGACCACAGCTGAGGACATTTGACTCCTACCCCAATTAACGAAGAGGAGACTGCAGCTGCAGGCATCTCACTCCTGCAGTGAAGGCCTTCCTGGAGTTAACTTAGTTCTCCTAAATTAACATAAGTATTACTTGGAGATTTTCATAAAGGGTTTCCCAAGTTCTGCCCAGATTCCTGCATTTTCTTTAGTCTCCCCTCCTTTGTTTGAAAATCTAATAAATAGGGGCAGCCCAGGGAAGTCTGTGTCTGAACCCAGAGAATCTCAAAATTCATTAAGAGAGTTGGACCTTCCTGGAGCCCTAAAATAATTTCAGTTGTCACATTTATTCTCATTTATTTAAGCCTTCTCTGTTCACTTGTTTAGGAGATTGTGGGCCTGATCAGCCCACCATAACTAAGGGTTATTATGTACCGCAAACATATACAGCTTACTGCTGATTGTCCATGTCTAGCTTGAGATAAAGCATGTAGAATGTAAAGATATCTTGGAGCAAAATGAGGTTCTGAGAAATGCACCCAAGGGAGGCTTTACTTTGGATTAATGGGAGGAATTTCAAAGTATTACATAAGTAATGGCCTAATTATGATCCACAAAACGTGCTTAATATAAAGTATGGAATTCCATATCCTGGGCTTTACAAAACCTAAAAATCAGATGTAAGGAAAATTACTGACTGAAGCTGTGGGTGGTGGTGCATACTCTTACCATTCTGAGAAGCTGAGGCAAGAGGGTTGCAACTTCAACTTAGTTCTTACAGAGGCCCTGTCTCAAAATGAAAAATACAAAGGGCCTAGTATGTAGCTGCATGGCAAGGCCCTGGGTTCAATCCCAGCACTGCAAAACCCAAACCAAAGCAAAACAAACAAGTGCAGAAAAACAAAACCAAAACTGATTGAAAGTGCCATGAACATCTAGGGTTTAGCACAAGCTTTGGCTCAGCAGATATTTTGGAATGAATACTTTAGCAAATTATTGGATAAATGTCTGGATAGATAAATAGATGGACTGATGGACTATATTATTCTTGGTTAGTTATATAAGACACTGGATTCTTCTGATCATAAAAAGTAAATTATGTAGGTTCAGAATGTAGCTTAGCAATAGAGAACTTGCGTAGCCCTGAGTTTGATCCTCACCATCAATAAATAAATAATAAATAAGTAAATTCACTCTATGAAGGTCAGCCTGTTTGTTAGAGTCCCTTTCACCACCTAAGTATCAGGGCAGTTCTATCACCATCCAAAGTTTGTCTCTTGACCCTCATGACTCCATTGTGGGGATAAAATCAATTTTCTAGTGAAGATAGGATTGTGATCACTTCTTCAGTCATTCATTTCACATCAAAGCCTTTTGGTGCATAACAGCTTATGTTCTTTGAGAGGACAGCCACTCTGGGGGACTGTTAATATCTTATTCTTGGAGGTCTCTGCCTTGGTCTTCGTTGAAAAGGATGGACACTTTCTGGAAACAATGGGAGATGAGCTCTCTAGGGAGAGTTCCAGGTATGTCCTCACTGTCATATCCACTAAGTGAGTGAGAGTTTATACAAAACCTCAGCCAAATTTTGCTAAGAAATCCACCTAGTACAGTGGTTAACATCTTACTCTGGAGCCAACCTTCTTTCAGTCCCAGCTCTTTTCCACTGCCCAGTTTTCAATCTGTTGAATGGGGATCGTCAAGGTGCATTCTCCAAAAGGCGTTAGTAAAGATTAAATACCTAAATGTGCTAAAACTTTGTTTTGCAAGAATAACTAATTCCAGACACTTGCTTGTTATCCAAAGCACTCGGATATCAAAGTGAATTTCCTCATAAGAACTAATGGAAACTCAAATGATTGGTTCCACAACCCAAAAATATTCATATAAAAATGATCACAATACTTTCACATAAAATAATAAAGAAAAATAAATTAACTTCCACTGAGATATGAAAACCTTTGTGGGTGATGTGGAGACAAGAGAGAGGATGGTTATTGTGTAGGACAACTTTCACCATCGCTAACAAAATCACTGCTATTTACTGGTTCAATGGATTCTTTTTCTTTCCATGCAACTTTAACCAGGAACCTATCCAGTGACACTTGCATTTGTATTTTTCAAGGACTCATGGAAATGTGACACTGTGTTGTCATTATAAAGATTCATCCCTCGAACTGTACAGACTTGTTCAGGTGTGGCTTTTCTACAAAATCTCACACTGATTCCCACATTTTACACATCTCCCTAATCTAATTTGAAATGAGGAATTCCACGCTTTTCTCTTTCTTCTCTGTAGATGAGATCTCCATAACTTCTGGTGTTGGGAAATGATCACCCATAAGAGAGAAAGAGAGAGAGAGGAAGAGAGAAGGAGGGAGGAGGGAAGGAGAGAGAGAGGAGCCATTGGCTCAGCTGTGATCAGGTGACATTCAGCATCACGTACTACTTGCAAGACAAGACATTACTTGTTTATCAAGTTAGAATTTATTAGAGCTTTCCTTATCTTGCAGAACACTCACAGAACAAGTTACTTGCAATCCCAGGTTTTGCTGTACATTTAAAACCCAAGAGCTGACCTTTGCACATATCGCTTGTTATTTTTATTACTGTTTCTTACTCTGAGTAAACGTGCCATCCTAGGTTGTCTGTAATCCTGGGGAGGTGTCAGCTCTGTGCTTTGATGGGTTTGCACTGACTCAGTCACACCACTTCATCCCAGGACAAGGACATGAGTGTCTGTGACTGTGACTAAGAAGTGGAGATAGGTTACAGTGAAATTTGAGGATGAGCTGAAGCAGGCCTCATCGGGCTCCCATGCGCCTCTGGTTACAGCTGACCCACCAGAGGGCTCTGCCAGGCTGCAGGACCAGTCTTAACTTTGGACAGCTCTTGTCCATGTGCTGGTCACAAATATGTCGCCTCATAGTCTGTTTTAAGTATGAATCCTTGTGCCTGTTCCCCACCACTATAATCTTCCTGCACCTGGGTTACTTCATTCTAGCTGTCAACCAACAAGGAAGATCCTCATTGGGCTTTATGTGAATAAGAAACTTTATTATTGAGCTACTGAGATTTTAAAACCACCTCTATGTAACTGTTACTTAGAGATATATACTGTATACAGTGGGCCCAAGTCTGATTCTCAGCTGGTCTCCAGCTAGTTGCTTTGCTGCAGCTATCCAATCTTTTCAACGGATCCAACTTTCTTCCAAAGAAAAACACTTCAAATGCACATTTTTTATCTCATCAATCACAAGCTTTAATTGATGTAATTGTATCCAACTTCTCCATATCCTGTAAATAACCTTAAAACAGTGATTGCTAGACTCTTTTGAAATTCTGCAGATCGTCTCTCAGAAAAATAAAAGGTGCCCACATATAGGAATACATCTCCATAGTGCCTGAGTGTTAACAGATCCCTAAGGCCCACACAGGGGTCCAGAATAACAGCCCTGGTGTTGGTGTAAATAACGATAAAAGTCAATTTATTGTAGTCTTTTCTTTCTGAGATGTCCTCACTTCAGTATTAAAAGGATTCATTGATTTGGCTATAAATGGGTCCAAAATAGAGAGTTAATCTCTCTGCTTCTCTATGTAGCCATGCAATTGTGGCTTTTTACTAGATGAGTATTCTTCATCTGCTATATAGTTTTGCCTCAGGAAGGAAAAAATGTATTTGACTCAAGGCTGATTTTAGTAACAAAGATCTTTTTGCATCTCTCCCAACTGAAAATTTTCCTTTCTTCCTCTTTTAAAAGGGAGACTATGTTGCCTAGGTTTGCTGGCAGGTAGAATCTTCAAGAAAGGGGGGAAAGGTTTGATGGACAAGACTTACTTGTAGGCAGTCTGTGCGTGTGCTCAAAAACACCTACTGGAGAGCTGCAGAGAAAACTCTTCTTACAGGGTAATCAGAGGAAATTACATCTGAGTGCCTCTTTCCTGTGCAGC